GGAATGTCTAAGACAAAGTCCTGGATAATGCTACAGTGCAGTGCTGCAGAGTAGCACCACAGGATGGGTATGATAAAATTAGCACTGAAGCATGAGCAGAGCTACACAGCACAAAGGTAAAGCCTCAATTCTGACTATCAAAGACAAGTCTTCGACAAAGTTTCTTATTACTAAAAAAAGAAAGAAGAGAAGTTCAGCAAGCTTAAACATTACATACTTTTAGGGACAGATTCCCTAAAGCATACTAAACAATAATCAAGTAAGAAGTAAGAATAAAGTAATCTGCTATATATACAACATAGAAAAATTTGAGTAGAATGAAAAATAGAACCATCCATAAGACATTATGAATCCAAATTACAAAGGTAAAACTCAAAGGGGATAACTTTCTCCAAAGACGCACATCTAGCAAACTCTTCAAACGATTGAAATGGCTATCAGCACAGCTGCAGCTTTACTGAGGCAGACACACAAAAACCCTGGTATGGCAAAATGAGTTACATTCTTGATGAAAAACTCCAACTCACAGGCTATCAGGATGGACAGCAAAAAAAACTAAGTTCTGTGCCTTCTTCTCAAATTTAATTTGATATTTGTGAGAGGAAGGCACACAACACACGTGTTCTTAAATTTAAATTAATTCTCTTAAATTTTGAGAAATCTCTCTAATGAAGTGCTTTATACATAACACGTAAGAAACAAGTTCATCCATGTCTTGCATCTGTTTTGTGGTACCTACTTTGACAATTACTATTTGTCAAAATTCATTACTTTTTTCTAGTAATTCTAACCATATTCTTAACAAACCTTTAAATATATCTCTTGCACAGCGCTCTACAGCATTGATGGGAAAGCAGTAGATGATGTTAACCTTGTATTTAGCAAAACTTTCAACAGTCTCCCATACCATTCCCATAGACAAACGGATGAAGTATGGACTGTGCAAGCATACAGCGCAGCAGACTGAAAACTGGCTGAGCTGCAGGGATCAGAGGTTTGTAACCACGTGCACAAAATCTAAATGGAGACCAGTCACTAGTGTGCACTCCAGTGGTCGATACTGGGGCTCACACTGTTTAATATCTCCATTAATGGCCTGGATGATGGGACTGAGTGCACCCTCAACAAGTTTGCAGATGATAAAAAACCTGGGAGGAGTGGCTGATACACCAGAGGGATGTGCTGCCATTCAGAGGGACCTTGACAGGCTGCAGAAATGGACCAACAAGAACCTCACGAAGTTCAACAAAGGGAAATGCAAAGTCCTGTATTCAGGGAGAAATAATCTCATGTATCAATGCAGACTGAAATACACAAAATACCATTTAAACCTAAGAAAAAAACCCTTTACTGTGAGAACAGTCAAACATTGTAATATGTTGTCCAGAGATGTGGAGTCTCGATCCTAAGAGATATTCAGAACCCAACTGGACATGGTCCTGAGCACCCTGCTCTAGGTGAACCTGCTTTGAGCAGGAGGGTTGGGCTACATGGTTTCCAGAAGTGTCTTCCCACCTTGCTGATACCGTGATCTTGTCTTTACTCATCTCACATAAAGAACATGCTGTGCTTGAGAAAAGTGCTGAAGCTCTCTATTTGATGATTACACCATGAATTATTTAATTTAGAACAAAGTAAATTAGGATATCTGAGCATCGCATGTAAAACTCAAGATCAGGGATAAAAAAAAACCCAAAACATGACTGAACAAACTCTTTTAAGGAGACGAGGAAGGACCCGATAATGGAAATATATTAGTTTACAATTAGAAGTTACAGCAGATGAGCATGCAGAAAACAAATCACTAGCAGATCGTTTCACTCTATATGGAGTCACTTCATAAAGATAACAGTTCAGCTTTTTTTTTAAATTAATTAAATAATCAGAAAGGGGTGTTCAACCTAAGTCTCTAAAACATTACAGAACACAGGGAAGACTGAAATAAGAAGAGGCATGTTTGCTATCACACTGAAATATTCAAGGACACATGATCCCAAGTGGTTTCCAAGTAACTCAAGTTTGCTTTCACAAAAGAGTGCTGCTGAGGGAAGGGGCTATATTAGAATGACAAATGGTATTGAATAATATTTTGAGTGTTTCATGCATTTTTCCTTCACATAAAATATTTATAAATTTATGTTTATTACTGTCTGACTGGAGTGTTGCAAGAGCCTGTGGACACAGGCTCTTTAGGAAGGACCAATAGGGAAGCCAAGAATGGAGACTGCTGTAAGGAAGGGAGGAGAGGCTCAAATGCACAGAGCTATGGAGCAGGTGACAGGTTTGTCAAGAGCATATGGGTCAGAATTGGAAGAGAGGCCAAAAATATGGACATTGTGGGGGGCACCTGCTACAGACTGCCTGATCAAGAGGAAGCAGATAAAGTCTTCTTTAAACAGAGCAAGAAGTCTCAGAATCACAGGCCCTGACTCTCATGGAGATTTTTAACCACCTCAATATCTGCTTGAGAGACAAAAACACAGGCTACAAGCAATTCAGAGTTCTGGAATGCACTGAGGACAACTTTTTGATGCAGATGCTGGACAGGCTGACTAAGAGGGCTGCATCTCTGAGCATGCTAATAATGAATAAGGCAGAACTGGTTGGAGACAAAGGCAGTCCTGCCTCAGTGACCATGAGATAACTGATCTTGAGGGAAGTGAGGAAAGTAAATAGCAGAACATGGACTGGGGCTTCATGAAAGCCTATACACATGTGAAAGTATGCACTTGAAGAAAAGCCAAAACATACTATGTATTTGAGAGTATGCAGAACCCATCTGTTAAAATGAACAGGCATGTCTGAAAGGCATAGTAGTGTATATTACTTTTATTTGAAGCATTACAAAATCACTTACAGCTATTTCTGCAAATATATCTGGATACAAAAAGATTTGAAAGTCAGGAAAGATCTGCAGTATTACTGCTACTGCCCATAAATCACAAAGGTGGATACCCCATTTTTCCACTGTTTCTACCTAACACAAGACCTAGATAATTAAATTGTCTTGTAAAAGGAACAAAGTGCTGCATGTATCCAGGCTACTACATTGTCCATATCACAAGACATCATCTACAACCTCATCAAGTTAATACAGCACGCACATACACCAGTTACATGGTTAAAAAGATTGCGAACAGAGCTTTATTCGTGCTGCCTGTAGGGACTTCACTGTTATGGGAATTCTGCATTTTCCTTTGAGAAGCACTAAATACACAGCAAAAGGTGACAGGAAAGTGTGAGAATGAGAAGACTGAATAACTGCCAACATAACCTTCAGGAATACGTAACCATCTGCTGGACAAAAATGAAGGATCTCTGTATTATAGGCAGTTGTTAACAATGCAACGTCCCCATAACGTAAGCACAGAAAACCATATATATAGTGTATATGAAACCAACACAGAAAAAAAAAAGGTTTTGTGCTTCCAGCAGAATCCACAAATGAATAGATCTTTTTAAGTACAGATTTTCTATTATTCAAAAGTAAAATAAAGCTGGCAGTTAGGAGCTATGAACATGAGCACCTATCTTCTTCCTTTATAATCAATGGGGAAAGATGAAATAGATGAGTAAATCTTTCTCCTATGTTTCACTGAAAACAACTGTATCTCAGTAGAAGAACTTGGAGGCCTCCAAAATGACAGAGAAGTAATTTAGGATTTCAGAAGATTTTTTTTTACAGGAAAATCTCTTTCAGTTGTGGTCCACTAGCATTCTTATGATCTTTTTCCCCTAAAAATCTTCATTTTCTCATTGCTTTCATTGACTGTTGAAAGACCATGAAAATGTACCTCTTCCTTACTGTACTTCCCCTGCATAAATAATATCCTGTATTTGAGGGTCGTCTTGAAGTATGAGTCAGTTTTGGAAACAATTACATTGGGAACGCACATGAACAGCTATAACATATATCTATGTTTGTTCATGCTATTTAAGAAGTCTTCAGCAACACATTTATCGGCGCTTCTGCATAAAGTAAAATTCAAGACCATAAAATGCACTGGTTTGAGCAATATTAGGTACAGTCACTTAAAACAATTTAAAGTATATCTTAATGTTCTCTAAAGGGTTAGTCCACTTATTTTAAATATTCACGATATGTAAGATAGCATATGCATTCTACTGTTTCTGTAAGATTTACACGCTCTGGAAACAATAAGCATCTGCTGTGCAATAGATGAATATTATTATGGCTCTAAGCTCTTTTGTTAAGGTAGAAAAATGGAAATACAGAAGTTAATTGGTATATAGCCATTTGCATTGTGAGTTAGTTCTTTCCCCTGCTGCTCAGAAAAAGTAATCATAATTTGATTTGCAAAGAAAATTGCCTTTAGGAGATAATTCTATGTAATTATAGAGACTATTCCTACCTTTATTATCTACAATTTAAATCTCTACTACATGTTTTTAGTTCATTATATATTCCACCCTCCCTCTGGACTTCTTTTTACTCTTCTCAAGGATACAAACAAAAACACTTGGAAACTAGGGTTCCAATTTTCTGTCTTTTAATTATTAATTTTATTATTAAATATTATGATTAGCAATGCAACAGATATTATTAGCAAAGTATCACAAAAATGCATAATTTCATTGCTTACCTTTTTCTGCCTTTCTTATTACTGCTTTCTTATATGAATACATATGCATTTAAAAATATGATTTGATTGTTTTTCAGGGTCTGTGTTTAAGATACTAAAGTAAGCATTAAAATATTATCAAGATATTAAATTAAGAAAAGCTGGCAATCTCATTCTGTTCTAGGAACTTACAGTACCAATAAATAAGTGTACAGCTTAAAGAAAAAAAGCATTACAAAGGAATAGATATCAGTATTGGACTGTATCACACTGCACTTTATAAACAATATCACACATAACAACCAGGACACTCCCTGAAAGAGCTGCACAGCAAAATCTATAAAGGCAGAAAAAAATCCTCATGGAAGTTACTACCCATTCCCTACAGAGCGTGAAGAAATAAAGAAAGAAACTTACCACTTTTAGTAGTGAAAGAATACAGAGGATTCAGTGGAGTGCTCAGAGTGCTTGGCAGTCTTAGCTTGGAGTGTGGTGACAGCGATGATGGCGCAGGAAGCAAGAGATTTGAGCTCGCCTGTAATAGGAAAGACAAATCAGAAAGTGAAGTGTAATTTCCTGGGTTACTTACTGATGCAACAGCTAGAAGAGACATATTTGCTCAGTGTAAATAACTCCAGGAAAAAAATTAAGACTTAAGTCCATGATAACAATTTCAATGGATGGGTTTTTTTGTTGTTTTTGTTTGTTTGTTTGTTTTTTTAAGAATATTTCGAGACATAGACTTGGAAAAATTGTGGAAATAGCTATAAATTGAATTGCATGTTTAGATATGGACACAAACTTTCAAACAGTGCAAACAATGGAACAGAACTGTTTGAACTGGCATCTCGTTGCATCTTCGTGTATAAAAATAAAATGACATTCACATATGGTTATAAACTGATAAATGTAAAATAACTTCTCATTTTTGAGTACTCAAACTACATTACATCTGTGAAGAGATTACTCAATATTAGAATGAGAGGGAAAAAAAAAAAGCTTAAACCAGTCCTAACACAAAACTGATTTCTGCAAATCAATAAAGCATACTTAGACCAAATCACCATACACTTCCTTTATGTAAGGTACACAAAAAATACCTGCAGTCCCAATTTCCATAGCAACCAAGATAATGTAGTTAAAATTTGGTTTGCTATGGAGTTTCTTGATATACATGCAGCTATCACAAAGCAAAAACCTTTCCCAAACTTTACTCTTGACATATTGTCCCATAGAGCTTACATAAAAAATATATTATGACAATCTTAGGTTTTTACATGATGCAATTGAGAATTTTACTGTTTGTTAAACGTATTTTCACTGGCTGCCTTGATAATACAGCCAAGAGGGAGGGAAAATAGGCCTTAAATAAAATATTTGTAACTTTCTTCAAACAAAGTAGATTCATATGCTAAAATTTTTGAGAGTTATTTACCTAAACCAACACTCTTTTGAAAGTCAAGCCTATTCCACAATCTAGAATAAATGCATATGGTCACCTAATCCAACTAAAAGCCCACCATCAGTGGAGCACTTCCTTTGGCCTAAATAAACTCTAGATCAGACCCTTAAACTTCAGCTGAACAATGACATTTTGCAAATTTTCAATCTACTGGCTTCCAAACTCTGTTCAAAGAAAGGCGACAGCTAAAACAAAGTGAATCAGTGGCTTATTTCCAGAAGTGATATAATATATAAACTACTATTTTTGTCATTTAATACATATTAAACAATTCACCAGATTTCAATAATGCAGAATATTTGGGCATTAGCAGGTGTACTGGGATGCAGGTAACATAGCACTAAAAACATGTGCTGAGTGACTTGACTGGGCCATAGAGGATACCTGCTATCACCTCCTCTGACACTAAACCTTCATCTTAATGTATCTGTTTTTTGTGTAGCTATATGGATTTAATTCTACTGAAAGAAGTTTATTACAAAAACTTTCTTTTACGAGTCAAGTACTCTCTCAGCAACTGCATGCAATCATAATGGTTGTACTCCAAAACTGACCAGAAAGAAAAGCAAGACAGAAAAATCAGATCAAACATTGAACATGATAGAAAAAAGCATTAAACCAGCTAGATTCTACTGCAGTGTACAAATTTAACAGAACGTTAGTAAATAGTGGTTGTGAAATGTAAGAATGGAGAGACCTGTTTTTCTGAACAACAAAACCAATCTGCTTTTCTTACATTTACATATGCAAGTAACTAAGTTTCACTAATATAAAGTTTTCTCTGATAGACACAAATATGGTGGAAAGCCAGTAGCTTATGTGTTTACTCAAGCACAGAAAAATAATCTGTTCTGCAAATGTGTCGAGCTCAGCTTCCCAATGTTTCGTCTTCTTTGATCCACTGTTAGCTCTAGTGAGAGCCTTTCTGCAGTAAGACAAATGAGATCTCCTCCCTGCATGAATTTCTTGCAGAATGGCCACAACACCACCAGTGATACAAATGTGTGTTTTCCAGTCAAGCATTCTCATGAAACCTTTTTGGAATTCTCTTTCAAATTTGCTATCAAAAAGTTGGTTTCAGACACTACCAGGGAATGAAGACAGGTTGAATATAGCAGCCTTTGGAAATCAAACTAAACACAGAAGAGCAAACTATTCAAAACCAGCATTTAACAGACACTTTCCTGGTTCATCCTGGAGGGGAAAAAATATCAGGAGAAACTTGCATCGATTGTGGTGCTTGAATGAATTATAGAAGAGATATGGAACTCTATGTAAATTATTCCTGTAGAGCATTTAATTCCCTTCTCTTTATTTCCCTGCTGTATTACCCAAATATTCTCATTATACATGCCAAATAGCATGCTTTGAAATCAAATGCAATCAATACATACATTAGAAGATTGAACATACGCTCCTGAAGATTTAAGAAAATTGGGCTTTTTAAAATGCAAAATAAGTTCTATCTTACAACTCCTCCTTCCTCTCCAAGTCCTTAAAAACAAGATAAGACATTTTTATAAAAGACATATTCAAAAGAAAGTTTTAAATTTAAGCAGTCTTACAGGAGTGATTCATTCCTCCCTTTAATAGCAGCGAAGCTCAGCACAGGTGAGCTATAAAAGACTGCCCATCCAAAGTAAACACAAAATCAGTTTTTATGACCTTTCTGCCACTAGCTCTTAAATATTATTTAAATTTCTAAAAGGCCCAAAGAGGGAAAAAACCCACAACATTATAACAGAAGAAGGAACCACTCAGCTAATAAGTGAGGACTAATGATTCAGCAGAACTGTTTCCAGGTGAACTGTTTCCACTGTCCTATGAAGGATAATTAATTCTCCTACAACAGACAGACATAGACTACCTACAGAACAGAGTGAAGCAATCATTTTTTTTTGAAATGCATGCTGTGGGAAGGCATTGCTAAATACTTTTACAACAACGAGCAAAGTTGGCTAAGATAGCCAACCATCAATCTACTTATTTTTCACAACAGGCTCTGCTTGCTTCATGCACAAACCACAGCTTTATCAAAGACACAGTTTACTACTATCCTGAATTGAGTAAAACTAAGAGTTATAACATTCACATAGTTTTTGTAGTGGAAAAAATGTACCTACATAATTTTTGCCAAGTTTAAACAAAGCTGATTTGCATTTTCTTTTTTGTGTTAGGGCAGCTCTATGCAAATTATGCAAATATACATTTTCAGTGGAACTAGTTTTCACATTAAAAGTAAATTACATGAGACAAAAAACAGAATAATACAAGACTTGACAAGCTGACAATAACAATTTCTTTTTTTTTCCGAGAACGCAATTTTATGACCTTTGCAATCAATATAATCGACATTTCCATATATGCTTGCAAGTCAAATCAAGTTGGCCAGCTCTATACTACCTCTTATTCTTTTACTTTTAGGCTTCCCTTTTGAAACTTTAGGCCTCTAGGACACTGTTTTTAAAGACAGTTTAAAAACATTATTAAACCATGACTCTGAAGAATTTAAAAGCTGACAATTGAATTTGAAATAAAAACAAAACACAAATTCTGCTATTTTTTCTCAATGCTAGAAGAAAATACATAGGCAATAATGCTGAAAGTAGAAGTACAATACTACAGCTTTTAAATTTGCAATATAAGTTTGAATCAAGTTTACAGCTATGTAAAAATGCAATCATTTCTATGACAGTAGTGTTAGGAGGACTCCAACGAAGGCTGGGATTCTATTGCAGCAGGTGTACTTCAGTCACTTAGAGACTAATCTATTCTGCCCTTAAGTAACTTCTAGACTAAATGGGAAAGCCAAAGGCAGATAAAATAAGGTATCAGCCCAATACATGTAGGCAAAACCGAAATATATATACTTTGCTTGTCTGAAGCAAGCACGTTCCCCTGATGCTCCCTACAGTCCTCTTACTCTGATTATCCAGATCAGGAATGTGTCTAGATGGCAATATAGCTCCCTCATAACTTGGGTGCTCCATTGTTTTTCCCCATAGAAGCCCAGAAGTGACCAGGGCATGCATATGAAAATTGAAGCTAGAAGGTGCTTGATCCTACAGTTTAGATATAGCCATTGTCTACAGATGATATGTCTCATCACACACTAATTATATATATTCAATTCCTTAGTTCTGCCAGAGAGTTCCGGCATTTCAATTACAGCCTTACCACAAAACCTTTCTTCCTTTTTTTTTTTTTTTTTTTTTTTTTAAAAAGAAACATTGTTAAGAAGAAACTAAGATTACTAGCAACATTTGGAATAGTAAGCTTCTTTCTTTCAGTCACAAGGAAAACCAAATTCTTTGTACAAGACACAAAACAGTTAAATACAGGCTCAGTTTTACACAGGCTACGTAGACTCATTCAGCCATTAAGCTCAGAGAGTATCACCTTTCCTGAATTGGATGAAACTGGCATTTCAGCTTAAGAACATGCCTGGATATACACATTTTAGCAGAATTGGCCAATGTCATCATGAGTAACAGTAAAAAGTAGATTTGTCTTGCTGAGTAAGAGCGAAGTAGATTACTCTGTGACCTATTCTGAGGCTGGTTATGATTCTTGCTATCAAAGAACACATGACCAGAAAGAAAAAAAAAAAAAAATCCATGAGTTGACTTTAGTAGTTAAATTTTAAAAATGTCTTTTTGTGCAAATGTAAAATGGATGTCACCTGTGTCGCATACAAAACACACCCAAAGATACTTGTCTTACAATTTTATTTCTCTTCCTACTATGGAAAATAGACACCAGAAATTCTTCTGACTCACAGCTTGTCAAATACATATAGAAACCTATTCCTCTGTTCCTGCTGGTAAAAGACATTAGGACATACCTCTAAATACAGTATACAGTTTCAGGTAATCATGTAACCACTCAGACATTTGTAACCTCTCCCCCTCCCCCCATCCCTCCCCAAGTACTTGGTTAGACTCTAGGTTTTCCCCATCATATACAAAATCCTTTTTCAGTAGATTTTTTAATTTCTTTTTTCCCCACAGAGATGTTAAAAAAAGATATATTTCTGTGAAAACTTCATTATCATTCCTATTTTTCTAAAAAAA